CAAGCTCAGAAATGTCCTAGTCTTTTCTAAAAAAAAAAAAAAAGAAAACTTTTGAACTCAGAAATTTCAAACATTTAATTTTAAACATTAAATTTCTCCAGCAGTCCAAAGTTTAATCCATTCAGCAGCTTTCAGCCTGAATCTGTTTCCTCCTGTTCAAACCAAAGTTATTAACTAATGAAATAACAAAAACTGATTTGAGAAAACATTTTCATTATCTGAAATAGAAACAGCAATCAATGAGGAAAAACTAAAGCTCACTTGAACTGTATCATATGTTTATAACACTAACTAAAACATACTGAAGTTATATAATATCCTTTGTTTTTGTGTTTATGAATTTATTTATTAGCCTTTTGAACTGATGTGAATTTTTTTTCCCCCAAACAAGCGGTTTGCATCCGCTGTCGGTAAATAACAGCGCTCCATTTTCCTCATGGTGGCTATGCTATGCTATGCTACGCTATGCTATGCTATGCTATGCTACGCTAAGCTATGCTGTGCTACGCTACGCTAGTCCACAAAATGACAACAGCAAAAATTTGGAGGAAACTTCAGAGTTGTTCAACAAAATTTTTATTTATTTTTTATCAAGTCATGTAAATCGAAGTTTATGTTATCACAACAATTTAATCTTTATGATTTTTGCACTTAAAATGTAACCAGTGTGAAAAAATCTAAACCTAAGTCATATTTAAATAACAATAACTGATAAAAACTAGCAAACAAATTTAGACTAACTGAACAAAATGAAAGTGAACTATAGTAAAAACCTCAAAACTATTCTAACGTTGGTTTGGATTTAAAGTTTCAGGATCAGCTGAGCAGCAGAAACAACATGATCACTGGCCGTCACTGCTCAGCGCCTGTTTTCAGTTTTCAGTTTTCAGTTTTCCACCTGTGAGTTCTAGTTTCCCCTCAGACGGCACCGAGCGGTTCGGGTCAGGCTGGTTCTGCGCTGACTCCCTGCCGCAGCGCCTTACAGCTTCCTTCAGACAGGAGGATTCCCCATCTTCCAGACATCCATGGAGGAATGAGTCTGTAATAGTAAAACCGGGTTTAATGGATGAGTTTGTTTGTGTTGTTGGTTCTGACCCACATTCGCTGCTGGTCTGCCTCAGAGGACTTGGCTTTGCTTCCCGCGCGGCTTCGCTCCGTCTGGTCTCCTCAAACAAAAGGCCGTTCCTGTAAACAGAGCCATATGCTCTCCAAGCAGCACTTTCCGTTCCACTGGCTACAGAAACAAAAAGATCTGATCTTGTTTTACAACCAGATTCCTGCATTTCATGATTCAAATCTTTGTTTTTGATTCGTTTCTTCCACTCATCAGTGACTTAGCCCGTCCTGTTTATTAATAACCAGATTTAACAAATAAAAGTGGTAAAAATCATTGATGGAGTCGTTTACTAACTGATTACTGCATGTCCAGGTTTTCTTTTTAAAGCGTTAAATGAAGTTTGGCAGCAGATCTTAATAAAACAGCATAAATGAATCATTTATTGTTTTTCTGCATGTAGGACACCAAGTGGCCATGGGCACCAAAACATCAGGTTGGAGAAAAAAATCACTGAAATGAATCATAGCAACAACATAGTTGAATAAAAACGTGCCGAGCATGTTAATAGACACAACGATGTCAGAAGGTAGTCAGAACATTGACAACATTGTTGCTTTGAAAACATGATAAGTGCAGAAGTTACGTCTGTTCTGCTCCAGACGTTAAATAAAGTTAAAGTTTGCTCATCTTAATTTCAGCTTAATGTAAAGAAGTTCTGGTTTCAATAAACTGCTAACGGCGACACCCACCCAGGCGTTTTAACAGCTGAGTGCAGTTATTTAATTTTTTTTTTTTTTTTATAAAGTGAGCCTAAATTTGTTGTAATTTTTCTTCTCTAAAATGGATTTTAAAAAACACTCCAGTTCAAATGTAGCAACTTTTTTTATTGTTTTATTCCAATTGGATAAAAATGATAAATGTGGGTATTTCAAAAAAGAATCTAAAATCAATCGTAGACGTGTTAAAATACATTTATTAAGTTTAGTGAGTAAAAACACAACAGAAATCCTGTTTTTATTTTACCCGTTCCACAGGAAAAACACCAGCTTTTTTTTGTTTTTTTAATAAAACTTCTGTAAATTTGCTTCAGTTTCGCTCAGCTGCATCAATCTTTGCACAGGTGGACCTGTAGTTTCCAAACGTTTTTAGTTGTAGTTATGATATTAATACATCATTTATATATTCTGTGATGCAGAGATAAATTCTGGTGCAGAACAAAAAAAAAAATCCAAATTATTTTGTGTTTCTTCCTCATTTCCTCTGAAACTGAAGCAGCTGCTGATGTTTACTCGTCTGACGGATTCTCAGCTTCATCTTTATACCAACATTATTGAAACAGAGCTGGTAATTGCTGAGGAAACTAAATCGTGTTTGTGATTTTAGCCACATCCTTCAGAAAAGCAGGGCTTGATGTTTCCAGAAGGATTCGTCCATCAGCTGCTCTGTTAGCGCCCGTCACAGTTATGATGTTATGATGCTGAGAAACGACGCGTCAATAATTCACACCCACTTACATGACGACTGGGACTCATCGAATATTAACGAGCCTCATCATCTGTCTGGGTGTTTATAGGGTGTGAAAACTTCGGCTGCCTTCCTGTTTCAGGTTATTTTCTACTCACTTTGTTTAAATAGAAATAAAACGCGTAACTGGGTTAAGGGTCATAGCAGAGCCATTTTAGACCACTGAAAAAAATGTATAACTTTTTTTTCCCCCCCTTTTCCCGAAAATATAATTTGGACCCACAGCATAAAACATCTGACATTAAATCTGTTTGTTCAGTTATTAACCACATGATTTCTATTTCCAGGGCAGCTGCAGGTTTCAGCAAGACAAATTTAAGACTTTTTAAAAAACTTTTTAAATGTCACCTGCAATTAAATTTAAGACAGAAAACTGTAAATATGGAGGATGGCTGGAGGATTCTGCAGCAAAACAATGAATCAAAGCAAAATAATGAAATTTCTGGGGGTTTTGTGGCTCTTGTCCGCAGCTTTGTGCTTTTCCTGCTGCACACGTTCTGCTATGTTAACCCTGTACTGCCAAGTTAAACTATTTTTAGCACAGAAGCAACTAGCCGCATGAGCTAGTGGTAAAAACAAAATTTATCCGGCCCTTTAAATTTACATAAAAGGCTCAACGACAAACAACAATCACTTCCCCTCCTCCAGCCAAGCCAACGATGACGTGCACGGGAAAGCTCTCGTAAATGTAGACACACACACTCACACACGCATACAAACACACACGCAACACAAGAATGTTGAAAAATGTTCAACTTTTATCGCTATAAATTTTTGAATTGGGGAACGGCAGCCTAACAGAAGCATGGTGGTGGCAGCATCATGATGTGGGCTGTTTTGCTACAGGAGGGACCGGTGCACTTCATGAACCGAACAACATGAGAACAACAAGAGAGAAAACTAGGTGGAAGCTATTGAAGCAAAACGTTTGGTCTGAGTCAGACAGTTCAACGATAAGTCTGCCAAATTCTGACGAGATCAATGGAAATATTGGAAATTAATTTCTCTGGTCTTCAGCAGACACCTCTGTTATTTTGATTTGATTAAGTGTGAGGATATCGTTCCTGTTCCAGATGTTCTCCAGCTGTGCAGAGACGTACAGATGTCATTTTCTTCTGCTCATTTATTTTAATCTTAATGCCAGTTCCTCCTCTTTAATCCTCATTAGTTTTATTGTTTGTGAAATCCTTTAATCGGTCTGCGGCGTTGTTGGCCGCATTGTGCAGCCGTTTGCGGGGAGGTTGTCATTAGTGACGCAGGGATTTATGTAACCATTAATTTGACTGTTTTAAGCAGAGTGTTTTAATTGCCTGGGAAAGATTTTCCAGCTGCTGAGAGGAGAAGAAAGCGGCGTGAGATGGCAGCTGCTGGCGCTTTGCTCGGCTTCGTGAGAGCTGGACAGGAAACCGGAGTTTTCTCTGCTTCTCTGACACAACCACTCGTTCATGTTCTCAATAATTAAATCTGGTTTGACTCTGAAAAATTACCGTCAAAACAATTTCAGTTCATATGTGTTCTGACTGAAGNGGGTGAATATTTATCTTACTTATCAGCTCATTTTTTTAACTGATTAGTGAAACATTTCCTCAAAAACATTCAGAGCAGCTGAATTTTTGGATTATGATTAAAAAAAAAATTAACACATTAAACTGTGAAATAACTGTACTAATCAGCTGAAGCTGCATAATTACATACATTGCATAGAAAGACATAAACATTTCAGAGTTTGATATTAAATTAGACAAAATGTTTCTGTTTTCCAGTCGGTTAGGACGAACTAAATGTTTCCTACTTGCTAAATACCAGAATAACATAACATGTCATTATAAAGTCTAACTTATATATCAGAATTAGCTGAAATGCTACAGTTAGCTAAAATGTTGTCACTATGTTGGCTAACATCGACTTATTTCATTCTGTGTCAGGTTTCGCTTATATATCAAAATTAGTTCAAATGCTAATGCTATTAGCATTTCAGCTAATATTAAACCCGCTGACTGAAATGCATTTAAAACTTCAAACAGAAACATTTAATAGTGAAACAGCTTTACGACGCCTCCAGTGGAGTCCTGCGTGGTTAACAAGTTCAGTTGGAGTTTTAATCATTTAGTTTGTTAAATAAATATTTAGTTTGAAGCTATTTCGTTTATAAACAAAAATATTTAGCTTGCTAGTTAAATATTTAAACTTTGACATTTATAAATGTATGAATAAAATGGAGAAAATGTGATTTTGAAAAACGAACCACCACTTTTTCTCTTATGACTAAATGAACCAAATTATTTCTGTAGATCTCTGACAGGTTGAGGCCTCAGCAGTGAAGCTCTCATTTCTCCTCATGTTCTTCTGCAGCCGAAGCCGACCGGGTCGTCACCATCAGATGTTTCTAAAGGCATCCTGAACTTTTTCCTCCTCCATTTCTTCTTCCTGCGTGTTTAATTTAAGCTTGCATAGCTAAATCTGACTCACTAAATCTAATCTGATTTCACGTCGGACCTTTAGATTTACTTGTCAAACGGGTGCGTTCAGCCCTCCTTGTAGTGTTTATGCACAAATCAGGTGTTTCTTTAGCAGAGGTAAGTGGCTGCGGGGCGTTAGAGGTCATGATTAGTCAGAAATCATGGCAAGCTGAGAGAGTTAAAGACGTCGTCGCGGCGCATCGGCTGGGTTTGCTGTGCAGGATGAAAGGAGGAAAGCGTTTGCTGGTGAGATTGCGGCGCTGCACAGCGCAGGGATTAGGCCAGCCTTGAATTTAAAGGGGGTGTGGGGGGTTTGCCTACAGGGGGTGGCATGTTGCTATTTATGGAGAGAGCTGCATAAACTGAAGCTTTGTGTCTTGCAGGCATTGACTCAAGAAGAAGAAAAAAATACCGCAGTGCAATTATGCATGAAGATGAAATGAGCTCAGATGGGGTTTTTTTCTTCCACCTACTCGTCTGTTTCATTCATCAGGAAGAAAACAAAGAATCAGGAGAATACGGCTTAATTTGCTGCCTGATTACAAACACTCATCAGCTATTGTTGTCAGGTTCCACTTCCTGGTTCTGAATCAGCACCATTGTTTCAGGAAATGATGGGAACCTGTAGCGGCTCATTTTCAGCGTTTTTACCTTCAGGAGCCTCTGAGCTTTCATCCAGCAGGCTCCCAGTCTGAGCGCAGAGAAACCAGTTACACACCAGCAGGGCAGACTGGTGAGGCAGGCGGAGGGTTCTGATCCAAATGGTTCGGACAGCATGGCACCAGACCCGATTCCCAACACTGATCCTGGATTCAGAGAGGACCAAACCTCACAGGTGACGCTGCGTAGCAACAGTTTCACTTTTTAAGGAGCTTTAAAGTGAGGAAAGTAAAACTATCCATTTTCCCAAGATCACAATGTTTACTGTTTATGGATGGATGGATCCATAAACATCACTCCGTCCGTCCGTCTATGATTAATAATTTGATTTTTCTCAGCATCAGAGGAAACCAGTTAGCTTTAGCCTAGCGTCTCTTAAACTGTTGAATCTGGTCAATAATTTACTGCACTGCTCCTTTCACTTTGAATTAAAATATTATTATAAAGTGTCACTCGTTCTGTCTTGTCTTCTCAATGTGATAAACACTGAATAAAGAACAAAACTACACACACACACACACACACACACGCACACAGAGTTCATGTTAATGTGAAATATTTATGTTCATCATGTTTTCACAGCTCCTGTTCAGATTCAGTGAACATTATTTTTACTGTCACTGTTCTAACAGATGGATTTGATCCAGTGTAAGTTTTGGTTTCTAAATAGTTTTACCTGAATTTGATTATTTATTGAAGCACTTAAACTTTAGTTTTCATATTTTTATTTTCACTCTGAAGCACCGTGTGAATGCTGATGGAGAGAGGATCTGTGAAAGTACAATTTACAATTCAGCTAATTCCTGCGTGTGAAGTTACATAAATACATTTTCATTCAATGAAACATGGAAAGTAGTTCAGTTGTTCAAGTTTCAGTTCTAATTCAGTCATTGCAGCGAACAGCTGAAATAATAATGATTAATATTTCAGTGTTAAACTGGAAGCAAATTAAATGAATGGGATCCAGAATCAGATCCGGACCTTTGGGAAAGTTTCGTTCTGACTCTTCCTCAGGTAGAATCAGTGAATCACACTGAGGAAAACTGCAGAACCTGAACGGCCAACAGAACCAGGATAGTTTCTAGACTGGGAACCCAAATGTCTCAGATGATCGTCAGTATTCACTGGACTCTGATCATACAGTCATGCAGGACGATCCAGGTCCAGATCCAGGTCCGGGTCCAGATCTGGGTCCAGATCCAGGTCCTGGTCCTGGTCCAGATCAGGGTCCAGATCCAGGTCCAGGTCCTGGTCCAGCACGGTTGTAAGCAGCTGCAGTAAAATGAAACCATATTCACGACTCTCTGAGCTTCTTCCATAGACGGTCAGCATGTGTTGCTTTGAGGCTTATTATTATGACCAGGGGGAGATAAACGCTTTAATAATAATTCCCCTGGTGATTCTCCTTTTCTTAAAAATTAATGCTGTTGCTTCTCTTCCTTCAGTAAATAGGCGGTTAATTTTGAATTCCTCCTTTGTGCATTATTAAAGGCATAATGAGCCGGTTCCATGTTTCTCATTGATTTGGTTCATTTAGTGGCTGTATTTAGACCAGAGGAGGAGGATCTTCATCTGAATCTGACTGGACCAGAACCGGACCTGACAGAGCAGAAACCGGCTGCCAGTGAAACAGACATGAGGATTGTTCATCATGTCGCTTTATTTCCACAGGAGTAATTAATAATTTCATCTATAAGCCCCGGCTTATCCCCCCCTTGATTTAATACTAAATGACTGTAATTACTGCGTATTATGCTGTTAATGGAGCTGATTCATTCAAATCGACTGATTTAAGGGTTAATCAGCTGCCATGAAGAAGACGGCCCGCACACCCTGTCTGTGTGCAGAGACGGGTCACTTCTAACAAGCTGTTGGTGTTTGTCATTTATTTCATTTAAAAGTGGTTAAAGGTCCTCGGTGGGGAACATGAAGACACTTTTTACCCAGAGCGTTTAGAGCGCAGAGTAAAGTTTATTTTTTTTAAAAACCCAAACATTGTCTGGAAAATGTAAAACGTGGATAAATGCCTGCAGCTGAATAAACCAGTGACTGACTGATATCTAAATGTTTGCCTGTATGAAGGTTTTTTGTGATCATTACATTGATTAATGATGAAATCACAGATTAATACATCAAGTCCAAAACTGTAAATATGAACTGTGTCTGCAGATGGGTGCAGATTATTGTAAGACAGAAACTTTTCAGACATGTAGGCAAATATCCATACACAGCCTGGATAAGTGGTCAAAGTTACGGCGTTATGTCTGGATACCCTGCAGAACCCGGGTTTATGGCTGTGAACCCAGAAAAGGTGACGCAGATCATATTTGGTTTCTGAAGAAGACGAGAACAAGACGCCATGTTGGTTAAGACCTTTGGCCTGGTCCTGACTAAAGCCTCTTCTCCATGAAAAAGAATCTCTCTGGCTGGTTAAGGTCTGGTTCGGCTGCCTCCTCCACCACGGGTGATGAACGGTTTGGACCTCAAGGGTTGGCCATGGAGTCATAGATCTGCAGCGTACTGCGCTTACTATGATTTCAATAGGTGAGTTCAGTCTGCTGCCAGGTCCAGGTTTTACCCCCTCTGAGGTGGTTCTAGGAAACAATGTCTGCAAACGGATCTGGAACCGGAGGATTCGGCAGAGATGGCGCCTGAGGCTTCAGAGGACTCTCTGTTGACTCTTTACGGTTTAATTACCGACCGGTCTCCGCTGCAGACACAGAAACTATTGTGCCCAAAACGAGAGCAGCTGTTAGTTTGTGGCATCGATGTGAGTCACGCAGCTAGTTTATCTGCCGCCACGCACACTTTGGCTGCAGGAGGTCATTTAAATAAACACTAATTAGCATTATTCGTACGGAGCTCCACTCCTGCAGCAGCGTCAGAGTCCTGATGAGCTCCTGGAAACACGGCTGCAGCTGCAGGTGAACCTCCTGCATGCAGACAGCGCCGCTTCACTGCGTCACACTGTTAGTCAAACCAATCAACAGTTTGAGCTACAGTTGAATAATTAAATGAATTCTCGTGTGTTTGTGAGCATTCAGGAGTCGATGCTGCTCAGCGGTGTTTAATGGGACCAGCGACTCAAACTGGAAACCATAATGAGAAACGATTCATCATTTAATGTGGGCGGCCTGTCACACTGCGGACCGCAGCAGCAGCGCCTGATGCTCCAGGAAACATTTCAGCTCCCATGTCCAGAGTAATGCAACCTGTGCTGCAGACAGTTAGCAGAGAGATGAATGGAGCAGTGATGCATTGTGGTTACTGATCTAAACAATCTGAGCAGGATGAAAGGTTCATGAGGAGCAACAGGTGCTTCACACGTTTTAATGTGTGAAGCAGAGTTTTTTCCATATTCAGTAATAATCTCTCTGAAATATCAAAGTGGGAATTAAAGTCTGTCAGTGAAAAAGGCAGTGTAATTGGATCATTTTGTCTTATTGGTTGTCTTTATTTTTTACTTACTAAACCTGGGACTTTAACAACGTTAACTTTCAAGAATTAATCAGTTCGATTTGAACACATTTTTGTGTGTTTCCAGTATTTCCGTAAATCTGATCCACAGTGACATCACTAACAGCGATGAATCCTCTGGTCCCACTGGGTTTTCATTTCTGCTTCTAGCCGATCTGATTGGACCCTTGGTCAGACTATTATTGTGTTCAAATTGTGCTAAAAGCAGTTAGCCCATCAGCGAAGTTATGCTAGCCTTAAATAGCATCTCAATGGTAACGTAGCAGTTAAAGCTAATGTTAGCTTCCACAGTCATATTTCTAAAGAAGTTCCATGAATGATCAGGACTTCCTGAAACTTTAATCAGACTCTTTAATCTGATGGTAAAAGAATCTGAAGAACAGATTTAAAACTTTAAATGTTTTTGTTATTCAGCTCATATCAGTATTTATTCAATAATTTAGCTGCAAAAATGGTTTTTGAATTGAAACTGGGGCTGTGTAGCATGTAATTTTGATTAAAATTTCTATTGAGTTTCACCACTACTATTTATATTTTTCTTCTGAAATATCTGCATTACATTGAATTGTGTAAATACAAGGTTTGGCCAGCAGATGGCGGCGTTAAAAAGTTGTCTCCGCTAGTTAGAGATCATGTTTGTCATAAAGACGGTGTGATTTTGTGAAGGTCATCAACTGGTTGAAATATATTGGCAAAAATAAAATGTGAAGTAGTCAGTGTTTCTTAAAGAGCCGGTGCAGAAAACCTGACGAAGACGCCACACTAACAGCTTATGGACTATTTTTAATAAGTGTGCCAAGAAAGCCAAAGGAGAAGAAAGTCTGTGATTATAATCCATTGTGGGAATCCTTTAATAAGTTCCATGTTTGATTTAATTAGGACCTCTGTGTGTTTTTGTAAAGTAATTCGTTTCTCTCTTGTATTTATATGATTGAGTTTAATTGCTGCTACCTGCTTGATGTCTGCCATTTATTTCCTGTTCCGTTGATTTGTGCTTCCTCAGATTGTCTCCTGTTTTCTAAATTAGCCAGCTGTACTGAAATTACCTCTGATAATTTGCTAATGTGATGTCAGCGTGTTGTCACTTAGCCGCTCCTCAGAAAGCAGCCTCGCTCTACACACTCGGCTACAAACCAACATCTGAATGCGGCTGCAGGAAGGAAATGTCTGCAGATTAGATTGCAGACAGAAATACAATAATGTCATGAATAACCTCGTGATGGTCCAATATTCCACCTGATAATCTGAGTTTAATGTTGTTTGCTTCCATGAAAGCAGTTTTAGGAAAGATTCAGATGTGATTTACACCACCGTCTGAGTTTTTCATGACTTTTTTTATGACTTGTAAGTTTGCAGAAATGAACACAAAGCGCATAAACTATGGGAGTTACCAACAGTCTGCTGAGTTTTACTAGGAAATGCTTTGCTGCTATATAACTGAGATGTTTTTTTTACGGTAGAAAACATCATTTACAATCACATCCAGTCTGACTAAACCAAAGACTGAATCTACATTTTGATCATTGTTTTGCTTTTTGTCATAATTTCCTTGTTTCTGTCATTTCTTCAGCTGCTCCATTGCTCTGTTGACTGCTGGTTGCTTTCACCTGCTTCCCATCAGCAGTTCGAGATATGCCCCATTTCATCAATAATAATAATAATATTTGTATTTATTGTATGCACTATCTATAACTGTCTCTTCTAAATTCAACACATGCTTGACAGAAATTTTTATTTTTTTAATGTAGGAAGTTAGGGAGTTAAGATGAAGCACAATGGGATTAACACAGCAGCAAATTCACCTGATCAGCAAAAAGGAGAGAGAGGGTTTTGGAGTGGCCTACTCAAAGTCCAAACTTAAATGAAAGACTGTGAGGGGAGCTTAAACCAGTTCAGGAAAGGGTCCAAATTCCTCCACAGAGAAATTAAAGACTTGTTGTTTTTTTTTATGTTCTGAAGAATATTTGTCTGCATT